TGAGTATGACCTCTGTATCACTCTTTCGTCCCTCGCTCCGGCCCTTACGATCTCTGTGCTATTCCCTCCCCTCTCTCCCTCCTCCATTCCTCTGCCGCCAACGTCCACCGGTCGATCAGTGGCGGTGCGCGGCGTCAATCAGTGCCTACTACTGCCGACCGGCGGCTCGCAGCCCTCTCCACTCTCCATCGGACCGGCGCCGGTGCCGAAATACGTCTCCGAGCAGCTGCCCGGGGACCGTACCGGAGAAATACGGCCACCGGAGCCGGCTGTAACTCGGCCCGGCTCGGCGACCGTCGCGTATACCGACGGCTCGCGAGGCCCGCCGCGCCGGCGACGACGCGCACTTCCGATGGAGCGCAGCGCTGCGGCGGCCGCTGATGGGATTGGCCAGCCGGGAGCGCGGCGCGGTGACAGCCACTCGGCGCTGATTGGCTGTCGTGACACGGTGTCACCGAGGGACGACACTGTGTCACCGCGTCGGGAGGTGACGCCCGCCCGCCGCCGCCGCTGGCCCGGCGAGTAACGGGCTGGGCGGACTGAACGACTGCGGTGTCGTTTGCTCTGATTTTCTTCTTGTGGGTCAACTTAATTCGGTGGTAATTTGTGGCTCTTTCTAATAGGGATCCCGAAAGATAATTTGATGCCTTCTGACTTCTTTCGATTGATGTTGGCTTGAGTTGCCGTTCGGGACAGCCTGTCATGCGGTGCAGTATAACCTCAGGCGTTAACTGGCAGTGACATCTAGCGGCAGTAATGCAAACATGACCAACCAAAAGCTCGCTCTTATCTTTTGTCGCTCGTTTCGGTGGTGGATTCGTTGCCATTGCATTTTTTCTTCAATTTTACCAAATCGAACAAATGACCAAACATATTTCCGTCTCAAATTGGTATCGCAAATGCAGGCGTATCGATCTATTTGACAAAGTGTTTTGCGTACTGTTATGAAAAAGGGTTGCTTTCAGTTTTTTTTTTTTGTCTAGACATGCGAGTGCTCGGACGTTTCGTTATTTTTACGATGCTTTTTGCCTCGTGTTTATCTCCCGTGCCACTTTGCATACAGTTTTTACTGCTCTCGGTGGCACGTTGCGGTCCATATCTTTGCCGCGGAGCGGTGTGGCGCACATTGTTATTCCTCTATCACCATCACCTAGTCAGCATCACGGTGAGCTGGCGGCGGTGTGCGGCACCCCAGGGTCTGCTCAGCGGAATGGCTCGGTTAAGGGCAAAACAGGCTCCACCGCAGCCGCGGTGATATTGGTCCCGCGGGCGTAAATTCAATCTGAGGAATTTGTGTTTAGTCGTTGTGGATGACATCCGTCATTTATTTGCGGTTCGAACGCCCTTTGAGGGTGCTCGGCGTGGCCTCGGTTTCAGAGGCGGACAATGCTGCGGGCGGGGGCGGCAGTGGGAGCGGGGGCGCGTCTGTTGTTCTCCGGCCGCGCTGCCAGTCGAGAGGTCTGAAAGGAGCCCGAGTCGAGGACCGCTCCACCAGCGGGCCGGCCGAGCCGCGTCCGCTGAAAAGCCGAACAAGAGCTTCATTGGCAGCGTCAGTTAGAGCTGCGGGTGCCGCCAGGTATCGCAGAGTGGGAGTGAAGAGCCCTCCCGCAGATGGCGGTGGCGATATGCATCTGCGTGGGATGGAGAAATGCGTTTGTAGTATTTCTGTCAACTGAGGAAGATATGATAAGGAAATTGTACGTTGTTTTATGTTAATTCAAGTGTTTTGGTGCGCGATTCGAGTAGCTTTCGGGAATAATGAATTATTTGCGGTAACGGTTACAACCAAACCACAACCAAACTCATTGGGAGAAAGCATCACTTGACAGTGGGTCATGCTAAATTCTTCCCAATTCAATCACTAATCACAACTGACTGTGAGCTTCATCCTACTTTTGTTGCACACTACGAACAGTGCGTCCCGTCCCGTCCCCTCCCAGCACGCACCAGTGTTCTTCCCTGCCAGCAGTGATCTCCCTCTGGGACCTCTGCTCTGCACGGCTCCTCTTACCTGACCTACCTGACTCGCACCTGACCCCGGCTCGTGCCACCGTGTCCAGCCAGCCTCCAACCTTGGGTGGCCGGCGCAGGGTCGGCCCGCCCGCCCGCTGGAATATTCATGGCGGCCGCTGTCCGGTATTCATGAACTGCACGCGGCGCTCGCCGGGGCGGTCTGACCGAGCAGTGGTCATCGCTGGCGAGCCGCGGCACGCGGAACGGCCGCGGGAGAGACAGAGGGGGGACTGCCGGTCCTGCAGTCATGGTCCGCCGGACCGCCGGTCCTGCGGTCATGGTGGAGAGAGCCCGGCGCGGTGCAGTGAAACAGCAGCGCTGGGCTGTGAGAGGAACGGACGCAGGGAATAAATTGCAGACTTGGCAGCTGTTCGGTTTAGCTGCTTAGTGCCAACTAGCACATTTGGCTTTTGCTGAGTGGCCCCCTGAACCTGCCTGCTGCCTGAGTACGTTTTGGAGCTCAAGATAAATGCAGCTTGCATTGGCCTTTGATTTGGTTCGCGGAATAGCTGTGCTGGCCAGACCACTTGGGCCTAATTGTTAAAGCTTCACTCGAACTGACATACTGCATGTATTCAAATATCAAAGGTAATTACTACGAACTATTATAATAAGCACATCATCCGAACACAATCCTGCGTTCCTGTCGCTCTTATCCGGAGATACTCATGCACCCTATACCCCTATACTACTGTCGCCTTAATTGGGACACGCGCCTGCACCTGTAGTCCTTACTCTCACCTTTGTTTGGACACGCACTTTACATACACCTCCTCTCAGCACATCTCGACTGCTTTGGTCTCGCTTTGTTCTGCCTCTGATCCATCCAACTCCAGCGCTACGAGAAGCTCTATCCCTAGAACGCCTAGGGGGGGGGGGGTTGTATCACCCCCCCCCCTGAGGTTTTTTCGAAGTGCACGCTAAACGTCTTGTCGTAGCGGGCTGAAATTTTCAATACCCTCTGGGGCAACCTTTGCGCATCTTTTGCCGAAAAAAAATTGATCGGGTCATGTCAGGTCACGGAGTTATGACGTCATAAGAGGTACAGCCTCCGGCCGACAGTTACCAAACGTGTGCGCCGAATCCCTAGGTTTTCTGCCGGTGATACCCACATTGTTTGATGGATCATGATGAAACTTCCCATGCATGTTGGGGCAAGCATTGGCTATCGTGTGGTGCAAGAAAATTGACCGGGTCAGGTCAGGTCACGGAGCTATGACGTCACAAGAGGAACAGCGTCCGGTACTATTTTTGAAAAGCGCCCGAACCACTATTTTGCTAATTCTTGTCACCTCAATGGGAATATGCAGCAATATTAGCTTCTATAGGGAGCAAATGGACCTCCCAAATCCAAAAATACAATCAGATTTCAAAAATTTAAATTTTGATTTTTCGAATTTCTGCCGCCGACTGTGACCTTGCCGACTTCCGGCGCTCCCAACGCGCCATTTTTAGAGCTAGGGAAACGAAATACATACCAAACGATAGAGAATTGATCAAGGAACACGATAGTGAAGGTTTCAAGTCGATATCTCCCACCGTTTTGCCGCAATCGCCGCGGAAAGTTGAAAAAGTTTGATTTTTTCGGAAAATTTGACCTTTGACCGGTCATAAGTAGGTCAAATGTTGACCTACGACCAAAAAATATACCACCAATCGCGAGATCTCGTTGAGAGCAATCCGTTGGTTTTTTCCGCTAAGCTCTACGACCTTCCGTTTCGAAACGCCAGGGGGGGTCGTAACAACCCCCCCTGGTCGTTCGTGTTATGAGAAATGGCCTGGTCGTGCGAGGGCTATTGTATTCCTGTGAGTCTGACATTTGCTCGAATCTTTCTTCCTGTGGTCTACACCTTTCATCCTGAGCTCCTTTCTTTGTGGGGGGAAGCTTTAATAGAATGGGAAATTTATCATTATATTGCGTATTTTTCTCGTCCATGTGTGATGTTTAGGTGATTGAAGGTGTAAGGTGCTGGTTATTTGATTTGTGATTTGTTAGTAGTCCACGCCTATGCCTATTAACTTCAGTTATTGATTGACTGTTTTCAAGTGGTAAATGTGTAACAAATGAGGTATGGCTGTCTAGATTATGTCTCGTTAGTGTGTTAACCCGTGACATGTATCGTCTGTGACCTGTGCGTTTCAACAGCTTGTGGCTGACAGTCTGGTGTCCCATGGCCAGTTTCAGAGTCGTATCCACAGGTTACCGGTCCGTTTGCAGTGGCGCCGACCGTCCTCTCAACCACAAGCCCCCTGTGTGACGAGTGTTTACCACCAGATCCCACCCAGCTGACTTGGCCCACGCTCTGGCAGCGGCTTGTGCTGTATATGGGACTTGTCCAGGGCTGTGGGGATTAATTACGTGGCGCGGCGGTGCTACTAGCCTCCATTAGTGTGTGTTTGTGCTGTGTGTTCCGCGGTGGTGGGCCCCTACCCCAGTCGGACCCGTGCTCAGGCGGCGGCCCAGCGGGCGAGGCGGCAGCTGTGTGTCAGTGTCCGCGCAACCCGGAGACCCGCAGAGGCCGCCGGCGCGCTGCCTGGCTGTGTGCGTGCTCCCCCGCGACCCCTCGATGTGGCTAACCCTGCGCCAGTCTTGCCGACCGGAGCTGCACACCGTTTGCCAGCGGCGCTTGTTTTGGCTAGAGCTTAGCGCCGACGGTGCTGGTATCGGTGTGGACGCGCTGCGCCTGTCGCGGGAGAGCCCCGTCTCGCCGCCGCCCGCTGGCCGTCTCTCTGTCTGTATGTCTGTCTGCGTGTTCGGGAGTGTTGGGAGGACGCCGGCCGGCTCTCGCTGGGCCGAGTCTGCGCGTGCACGTCGCCTCACTGACACTGTTGGCGCTGATCCGACCCCGATGACCTGACCTGGCCGGGGCGGGTCCCGGTGTACACTGACACCGAGCACAGTGTCTGCGTGTGTTGGTGTGTGTGTGTCTGGGTGGTGCCACACGGCGCCAGCCTCAGCTAATTCCGGTCCCCGTTCTCCCGCCTAGACGGACCGACCGTAGTGGCCATAAATTTGATGATCCGTAGCATTGCTCGCATTGACGATGTCACGATGGTAAGTGCCCTCGGATCGTGCTCTCTAGCGCTAGCGTTCGGCATGGAATGATCCGCACCTGCCGCACTCGCGGCCGCCGCTGCCGGCCGGCCGGCGCGCTGGTGGCAGTGGACGCTGCCGCCGCCGTCGGCCGGCCGGCGCGGCACTCCAGGTGGCATGCGGCCCTCCGTCCGGCCGGCGCGCTGCTGGTTACTACTATGGACGTCAAACCCCTTGAGACCCCACTTTTTTGCGATAATTTTTAAATGCGTCAACTCTCGTTGACAATATTCTGGCAATGTGTGTTTCAGAACCTGCCGAAACTTTTATTACTAAGGTATTTTGACGCCAAACGATTATGAAAGGTACTTCTCATTCACTCGTTATGTTAAATTTCACGGAACGAATCTGCTGTTTGGGTAGAGGCTACGCGCTCATGGGGCGGAGCCACGTAATGACGTCAGCGCTAAGCTCCGCCCTACCCCTCCGGCGCTCCTTGCCCGGCGACCGGTCACTCGTCTCTCGCTCCATTCAGGCTTGATGATGGGCGGTAGCTGGTAGCGGTAGCGGGCGCTGGTAGATGGCATTTAGAGCAGATGGCGCTGGTGGCGAGGCTCGAGTGTGGCCGAGCGCAAGCCTCTGCCCGGGCCTGAATTGACCTTAGCATTACGAGTGAATGAGAAGTACCTTCCATAATCGTTTGGCGTCAAAATACCTTAGTAATAAAAGTTTCGGCAGGTTCTGAAACACACATTGCCAGAATATTGTCAAGGAATGTTAACGCATTTAAAAATTATCGCAAAAAAGTGGGGTCTCAAGGGGTTTGACGTCCATAGTAGCTCTGAGCTCCCCACCCGCCGCCTGCCGCCCGCGCTGCCCGCCCACCGCCCACCGCCCGCCCCGTCGGCCCGTCGTCCAGCATCTGTACATACGCAGCAGTCAGTGAACAGTGGGGCGGGATAGTGCCGCCGGAGCCGCCCACTGACCTACCGCCGTGTCTGTTTGCGCCAGTGGACCAACCCACACATGTGTCCGTGAACCTCCTCATCAGGTCGATCAGTAAAATAGATGACTACAGCATGGTGAGTTTGGTGTAGGCCGGCGGTCGGCGGCCGGCCGGCGGCGGGCGCTGCTCGACCTGCCGGCTGGCCGCCGCTGCTCGGCGCTGTGGCATGCGCATGCGGCCAGCGCACCAGCGCGCCGGTCTCTCTGTTGTTTTAGTGGCGCTGCTGCTTGATTGACCGGGGAAATAGGATTTGCATCGACGCGCGCGGCGTGGGAGCCGCCGCCGGCCGAGACAGCTGGCGGCGCCGGCGGCGATTGGCCCGCTGGGACCGGAATCGGTCGATGCCTCTTCCACTTCTGTCCATTCGTCATCGCCGATGTGGGTCACCTTCATTTCTTCTCTACCGCTGTCGCTCTCTTCCTCCCTGTACTCTCTCTTTTCTGTCTCTTTCCTTTATGTTTCTTGTTCCGTTTTTCTCCCCTCCGGGTCTGTCTCGTCGCCACCGTTCCGTTTCTGGGCACCCCTGTTGTGTTTCACCTGTGTTTCGCCGTTTCGTTGGTGTTCGGCTGCTGTCGTCGCCTGGTTGTGATATCGGCCGCTACCAATGACGCTCCGCTGGCCAGAATATTCGTTGCTGATGTCCATAGCGGACTCAGCCGGTCCCAGCGGGTCAGGGCGGGGTGCAGCCAATCTTAGTAGGTCAGAGTGGCTACAGCTAATCCCAGCGGGTCTGGTTGGGATGCAACCGGTGAAATAAAAAATTCTTGCTAACCTAGTGCGCAAACTTAGTGCTAGTGCTAACCTAGTTCCATTTTCGGGGATGATGGGGAACTGGGACAGTCGGCGGCGCTGCTTCCCAGAAGCACATCGGCAGTCATCAATCAGTGGCGGGCGTCCGGGCTCGTTTTGCTCCTCGAAGTCCCGCCGGGAGAGTGATGGTGCGGTCCGACGGCTGCGGTCCGCGGCTGGCGTCAGTCCGGTTCGACAGTGACCGCCGCCGACAGTCGGGCCGCCCGGAGCGGCGGCAGGCGGCCGTCCGTCAGACGGCGCGGCGCCTCGGCCGCCGCTGTCCCGCTCCCCAGGGCACGGGCGCAGCGCGCACCGCCGCGCCGACATCGTAAACAGCGCCGGCCGGCAACGCAAGCCGGACGCGAGGCGACGCTCCCGCGACGGCACTCATCGACCTCAGCCGTCTCCCGGGCGGCGTCTGAGGCGGGCGACGGTGGCGCGCGCTGTTTACTGCTGCCGCCAGTTATTAAATGAACACTGGCCCCGGTGGCGGACGCGCCGGCCGGCCGCCAGCGGCGCGAGCGAGCCCCAGCTGACGGCCGGATTATACCGCGCGCCCAGGGAGCAGATAGCGCCCGCCCAGACCGAGACCCGAATAAAGCCCTGTTTTCGTCTTACCGAGTGAATAAGAGATGGCCGGGAGAGACGCACTTGGTTTTAGCGCGGAAAGGATTCAGGGGAAATGGGTCAGTGGCCGCACGACACGTAGGAATCGGGGTAGAATTTACAGCCGGCGAATACCATCGTGTCTCACCATTGGCCTGCAGAGTTTCTCTAACACATCGGTCGGTCGAGACAGTCGGACAGTTCTCAGCCCTGTAACCGATGGTGGCCTGCAGTGTGGGCCTTGAGAAAAGCGTAATTCTTTTTTCCACCCAAAGGAAGGCGCTATACGGAGAATATCCCATTGCGTCATTGAAAAGTGACTTACACCTCTCATCGGCCAGCTGGCTGCGTGGTATAGCGGTGAGCACACTCGCCTCGTGATCTAATAACTAGGGTTCGATCCCCGCCGCCGGCCGAACTTTTTGGCGCGTTGTAGGTTAGGTTGTAGGTTTGTAGGTTGTAGGTTTGTAGGTTTGTAGGTTGTAGGTCTGTAGGTTAGGTTGTAGGTTAGGTTGTAGGTTGTAGGTTTGTAGGTTGTAGGTTAGGTCAGGTGAGGTTAGGTTATGTTTGTTTTTGTTTGGTTTGTTTACCAAGAAGCATCTTCGGGTATAGCGCCTTCCTTTGGTTGGAAAAAAGAAACACGCTTGAGAAAACCGGCAGAGATGGGTTACCAAGTCTGAAATACCTGTAGGCTGCGAGGTGACCACCGACCCCATCATCCCCTCCCCCCCCCCCGACGCGACGGAGCAGAGCTCGACTTTCAGTGTCGAGCCGGTGCTCCCGGAAAGAAGCCCGAGCCATCAACACTTAACCCTTTGCTCTCAATCTCGTGAACAAACCGATACCCGCGGCTTTTCCGGTGTTCCAGAGTGGGAACTTGTGTGCACGTGACCACTTGGGTGCAAAGCTGTGCATGAGAAAAAAGAATGACGTGCATGTGTCATTGGACATGTGGAGGCTGTTGCTCGTATAATGCGTGTCGATGGGCATTGGAGCACGTTGGAATGTATACTGACCTCTATATTGGTTCTCTTTTGACATTGCTTATTTCACTCTATGTAGATATCACATGCTTGTAACGCGATATCGCTTCGAACATTTCTGCTTCTTTTATAGGAACGAACGTATCAATAATAACAACTAGATTTATTGACAGTCATGCTAACTGCCATTTGCTGTTTCGTCTAACTAATCAATATAAGCTGCATTTTTCAATCAGTAAATGCTCATTTCATTTATCACTTGGGCAAGAACATCTCACAGTGTCATTGCTATTGCAGGTAGAACACAGTTGAACTTCGCCAAATGTCAAGTGTAAAATATCGCTGACAGCTCGACCATTCATTCCCCGTCGTCACTTGGAGCAAAGTGAAACTCAGCTACGAAGAAAATGAATTACTTATTTGTATGATAATCGAAAAAAAACTTATTCCAATTATCCCTCGCCCTGGCAGGGGAGGGGGGGTCGATGCGACCCCCCCCCCTAAGGTTTTTCGAAGATAGCGTAAAAACTTTGGCACAGCCTATGGGGCAACCTTTTTACATATGACCTGAAAATTTCAGGTCCGGGTGACCTTGGGTCAGGTCACCAGGTCAGAAAAACCGGTACAAGGTCATGGTCAAATTTCAATTTTCTTTTTGCACCTGTCCAACTCACAGTTTTGCACTGATTTCCTTCAAACTTTCAGGATGTGCTAAGTTCACCGAGTTGTATAACATATAGTTCGGGTTTTTTGAGGTCACTGACCTGAGGTCAGTTAGAGGTCATTACGTCGTAATGTTAAGCCTATGGGAAAATACTAAATTCGGAAAATACTGGAGATATCCGCTTCGTTCTATCACTTTTGTGCTTTGAAACCACAGTACTTAACAGCAGGTCACTTGGTGCTTCTTTGTGTGGTGTACTTATCCATGGGTCAGGTCAAATGAGGTCAACTGAGGTCAAATGACGTTTTTGCCAATAACTTGGCACATAATGCTGCTAGAGCTTAAAAAATGGTATCATTGTGTTCCTGGTGATCAGCCGAATCGAATGATATGCGATATGATGCAATTTGGTTAACTTTAACTTAATTTATTAATTTAAGTTTACTTAAAATTTAAGAAAAACTTTAAGTACACTTAAGCAAGCTAAAAAGTATATCATTCGACGCGCCTTGACGTGCTGAGTTCACTGGTGCTTTTTTTTGCTCTATCTTAATTAGATCAAAAGTTATAAGCGAAAAACTTTTGACCTGTTTTTAGCGAAATTTTTACATTTATACCCCCAAAAACCCCCCTAAATATTGACCTAGAGCAACCAAATTTGCACAGGGGCGAGAACTCCAGGGGGCCCACCTACCTACCAAATGTGGTGTTTCTAGGTGCCATAGGAGCCAATCGCGAGGGGGGGTCGCATCGACCCCCCCCCCCTGCCAGGCCGTGTTATGAAAAATGCCCTGCCAGGGCGAGGGTTATGCTATCACTTTCGATATAAGTTGAACGGTGAAGAGTTTGGCCATACCGATCTCGCTCCACTCGCCTCCTGGCACTTACATGCCGTGCGTGCCTGTGTCACTCCCCACAGTGAAAACCTAGCCCTCCGCTCACCTCCGTTCCACCGTTACAGGAGTACAGCGTACAGCTGCTGTTCCGAGAGAAGTGGAACGACGAACGGCTCAAGTTCGACGACATGGGAGGTGAGTGGCTGAATATGGCCTGTCTTCCGTGCCCCTGACACTGGTCACCGGTCGGGATGCCTGTCTTAGTCTGCTGGTGTGATGGTCTACCATGGTTTGCTGGTCTGGTGGCCTAATGGTCTGTTGGTCTGATGGCGGTCGGCGTTTTGCCGCCGCCGTGTTCGGTCGCTCCGGATGGCGCAAACACTGTGGTTGAGCGACGAATTGCTATCGACTGCGGTCGACCTGCGTCCAGCGTCAGCACAGGTTCCGGGAGGGACAGGTGACGCTGACTGATGGTGGTCTACCACGGGCCCGTCAATGTCACCCTCAACCAACGTCAACCTCACCGCCACCAACACCCCGGCACTGCCAAAACCACCAATTACACAATACAGCACAGGCCAGTGGCATGTCAGGGTCTTACTCTATTGGCATTGGAGACTTCTGCTGAATGCTGATGGAATGCATTTGCTAGACCAATGGAAGACCAATCTAAATTATCATTGAACTCAGGCAAAAGGAGACTAGGAACATTGTTTGAGCAAGACGAAATTACTTGTGATTATATGTCTACCGGATACTTGTTATAAGTTGTATTCCTTTTTAGATTATTAATCTGATGATTATTGCACATTTATTTGATTGGGGTTGTTCTGTACAAAACTGTTTTGCTTAGAGCTTTGCCCCTGACTCGAACGTCGATAAGAGTTCCTAGTTTTCCATCCCCTGATATGTGTGATGTTCGAACACCACCGCGATGGGGTCTGACGCCGCCTCTGGGTCTCCCTCCCCAGGTCGAGTCAACTACCTAACACTGACCGACCCGCGCCGAATCTGGATGCCCGACCTGTTCTTCAAGAACGAGAAGACAGGCCACCTGCACGAGATCACCATGCCCAACATGTATATCCGGATATTCGCCGACGGGGGTGTGCTCTACAGTGTCAGGTAGGTCGGGCCAGGTGGTCTATCGGTGGAAACAACGGTTCTTGTGCTTCAGGTTAAGGGGCGTAATATCCACGCGTGTTGTATGAATAAGCATGAGGCATCGTTGAGAGTCTTGCAAGCTGCGGAGATATTACTCCGCCAAGACGTCGCCAAGTACCTCTTTTAGTCGCCATAGGAAAACCTCTATTCAGGCAATGTTTGACTCTTCATATGCTCGCACCTCGAGTACCCTTACTAAGTAGTTAGAGGTCCGAACGCTGGTCACAATCATGGTTTTCCAAATAGGTGCCATAATTTTGAGGTCATGGCTCTCCGGATGGTGGCGGCTGTATTATAGTCACAGTTAAATGGCACGCGCTGCCTTTATCGCACCGCCTCGGCATAACGGCTGGCTGTTTGTGGCAGCGGCCATCTTTGTGACCCTGTCGACTGTCGAGCGATCGGACCGCGCGCCGCGCTGTAACACTCCCTCGTCAGGGTAACGGTCACCCGGCGCGGCGGACACCGCGAGACGCGTGTGCCCCGGGCGGCTGGTACAATACGGACAGCGGATGAGGTGACGCCAACGATATGAGACTCATAAATAATCCGGGCATTGTTTCGACGCCTTTAGTTCCCGTCGGCCCCCCATTGGCGTTTGTCATCCGAGTTGGAATGGGAGCATCCATCTGGGCCTACAATGGGATGGCGTCTATTCAGGGCGGCCGGTCTCGTATCGAGGCATCGCCGGCTAAATGATGTGATTTGCTTGTAGCATCGCACGCCCTACTCATGACCAACGAGCCTATGCATGCATTTGACTCGGGGCTCAAATCGGATATGGGTGGCATGCAAAGGAAATTTCCGTCGGGTGTCGTCATCAGAAGCGATGTATGCGGAACTGATCGCGTTCTCGCTCCCTGGGCGCCGTCCGGGGCTGTAAGGCGCGATGTGGAACCGGACATGCTCTCTCAGTTTTCTGAAAACACACAGACGTTCTTTGCTGTTACACACGACTCTCCGCCAGACAGAGTGCCGACAATTCCGGCGAATCACGCGAGTGCGACAGGTCACGGGGACCTTCGCGTGATGCTCCGAGGTTCGTTTGTGATTGAGGGCCCTCCAAGCCAAGACTTAGCCCTTCTGCGGCGCGAAGTCGATTCCTAAGAAAGATGATAGTGATTTAATTGAAGTGATAATAAGGGATCGGGCATGGCTCACGTTGATGGTTGCTATCCACCAAAGGTGCTATTTTATTGCTCACCTGCCCACTTATCATCACATCGTGATATTTAAACCAACCTATCACGGACTTGTAATGCTCATAGACAACCGTTCAAAGAGTGTGGTATAAGTCACGCAATACACAGCTTCCGCCGTCGGTATGTTTTGAGATCTTGTTTTGTGAACCAAAACTTCGCAAAGAAAAGTCTCCAATAGCGGTACCCATTGCCGTCTTCGAATGAGCTCACTTGTTGAATTGATCTGGTTCGGTTATCAGCGTTAGTGGGTAAATGAATGCGTTATCTCCCCAGACGATTTAGCCTAGTGCCATGTTACGCAACTATCGGAAACCTTCACAAGCGAGTAGTTTGGTGAACTGCTCATTACGTAACTTTATGGTTCTCTGGCAGGGTCACAGATAGCAGAATCCGCTAATAGATTGGCGCCTTTGGAGGCCGTGCAGCTATAGTTTGGCCGGCTAACTTTGTGCGGTAACGGCGCGCTGAGTTTCCATTGTGCCGCGTTCCTCTCCATTGGTCACATTGTCCGCGGGGCTTGCTGCTGAGTTCGGAACGCTCCCTTTATTGAGTAGCTGCTGCGATTGTCAGCTTATCCCGCGACTGACGCACTTCCTGTTTGTGCCAGTGAATTGGAGTATTCCTGTTGAACGGGCCAATAATAAATATAAAGACTTTATGCATTTGATGTGTATTATCGTGCTCCAAGCTATTCTGAAGGCTAAAGGATTGTTCGGTGACCTCATTACATGTCATTTATCGAAACACGTCAGTAGAATTTGTATGTATTGCGCTTTTAATTACATCATACACACATAATCATTTTCATCTTCTAAATGTCATTTACGTATTGCCGCAAGTTTTCACTACTGAGCGACAAACATCGACTTGAGGAATATCTATTTTTGTAATTGATAGAGAACCAGGAACGATCGTGGAACTAATAAATAACTCTGCGAGTTCCGTGTGCGGCGTCGGCCGCCTCTCGCCGCCGCACGGTAGGCGATCGGGCCGGTCTAGCCTCGCGAAACCTCAAAGACACTTTTTTCCGAAAATTGGAAAACAACGCATACTAGTCGACAGAAAATTCATCAAAGATTACGATTAGTGCATTTGCATGGCTCAGGAGACATTTTTTCGTAGACAAAAGTATCGTTAAAGACAGCGTTCCGTAACACTTCATAGTGAGGATAATCACAGCCGATTTTTACGCTCTTTGAATATTTTGCGGAACGATGAAATTGCTAGGTGCTGAGCATCCATTTTGCATGGAAAGTGAAATTTAGATGTTTAGAGATTCCGCCATAGAAAGCAATTAGACAAAATCAGTTCAAAATGTCTTATAATTAGTTTAACTTTTTATATTTTTTTCTACCACTGAACATTACGTTCACTGAATTAACCAAGCCCAGCAAAAAAAGTTTTACGAGGATGAACTGAAAATAATGCTGTATCGCATGCACTAAGACACTATCTATTAGGGGAGCCAGTGAAAATTTGCAGCCACTTGCAGCCCTGGCATCCAGACACTTTTTTCTTCTAAGGGTTGGCCGTGGCTTGGTGCACTTGAGCACAAGTGGTAAATGCCCCAAAGGGTGTTTTCGCGATAGCTCAAAACACCCAGGCAATAGAGAGCTGCAACTTGGCATACCTGACCTTTGATGCACGCTGGATCTTGTGACACCAACCGCACTTTCAAGTCAGGTCAGGTCACTGACCTATGACGTCATAAATGAACCTCTGCACGATCCTCAGATGTCGCAGCCTTTCAACGCTCTCAGTGCCAGAGTAACTTTCACAGGGAGGTGAGATTTGCAGGACTTATTGTCCTTTAGAGGTCTTACAACTTTTATATCTCAGATTTTTCCTAAATGTCACATAAAGTCAGGTTGGTCACGTGACCTCACCTATAAGTCAATGGAGAAATATGAAAACTGTTATTTTGGCGCCAGGAATGATATTCAATTGCCTCAAGTACATGGAATCGTTACTTCATGCACTCCTTGCAAGATCTGATGCTGCATTTTTTCATTGTTGACCTTGCATGACGTCATTTATGACGTCACTAGGGTCATACGAGTTTTTCGTCAATAACTCCCGATCAAATTGAGCTAGAGAGTCGACAAGGTCACCAATGGACTCCAGAAGACCTGCCGAATCGAATGATATGCGATATGACCTCCTTTGACCAACTTCGTGATTTGAAGACCTCTGACCTGACCTTGACTCGAGGTCAACACCTTACAGTGGCCTCACCTGAACAAAAAGTATACCATTCGACGCGCCTGAGCAAGGTTAACACGACGATGTCAAAATCGTGGTTCTGCGGCCATTTTTTGCGAAGTTATTTACCAAAAACCAAACCCGCTGCTTGGGTCACGTTATGAAATGGGGCCTTGCCGGGCGAGATTTACACTGTTTCATGATATGTATAAATTGGTAGGGCATAATCGTTTGAATAAAAAGTTGGTTTGGAAGCAATTTTCTACGGAGGTACACACCATTTCAATGTCCTACCCAGCTCATATCGTCATAAATTTCGACCTACCCTCAAAAGTATTCATGCGTTATTCGAGCGGCAATAAGGCAAATTGCAAGCTCGCCACAGAGCACAAATCCTAAAAGAGATAGTCCTTATTTGAAACATATGCTCATTGGATATTCAAGAAGGTTGCTCCTAAATTTTGTGGTCCTAGCTTCAAAAACATGGAAGTTATGAATGTCGATAGGTTTCACGAGGCTACACCGGCCGGATCGCCCACTGTGCGCCGGTCGGCGGCCGCTGTTCCGGGAGTGCCGATCGGCGCCTGTCAACGGGCACTGATTGGTGCCTCTGATCAGCGACGAGTTGGGGGCAACTTCTCCGGCGTCAGCGGCCGGGGAGTTCGCCGAAAGGGGCCGTGACCTGATGCCGAGCGCAGGCGAGAGCCGGCGGACCGGTCAGGACAGACGCTCCTCGAGGCGGTGGACGGAGTCCGCTCTCCTGTTCTGCCGTCCATCCGCTGTTTTAAATCTACTCTCACTGCTCACTGGATGCATAGCTCATTACGTAGCGCATATAGTAGCTGCATAACTCATAGAAGTCATGTTTACACTTATTTGACGTTTTTTTTGGGGGGCGGGGGGACGGCGGATATTCTGTCACTGATACTCGGTCCGAAATGAAAGAGCCTGATGACATGTCCGACCACAGCGGTAGATGGTTGACTTGAATCTATGTACTCGTAATTCGGAGCAAATGTTTTTGGCCGTCCCTTGGTAAAAATAAAACAATATTTCCAAAAGAAGAACATAATTTTGGCAGAGACCAAGATCGTTTGTTGTGCCGCTGACTTCATCCTGAAATATAGTGATCAATGCGAACTGCAGGCATCTAAATTTAAGGCTAAGCTTATTTGCCAAGGAATGATGCTGTATGTCGTTCCGTCGCTTCAGTTCTGCTGGTTACCCTCTTTTTCAGCCTGGTTTCAAAAGCTTGAAAAGGGAGTCGGCTACTGAATATTTTTAATCCGTAATGTCGTTTCTGATTGCCGGATCCCATCTCAGCGCGTTCGATAAGTTATTTTCCGCTTCCCCTTCGAGCTGCCAGCAAACATAGAAACAATTAGCTATGCTATTCGTTACCAATCTCAGCGCAAACCTCCCAACCAAGTCCCTCCAGGAAAACACTGTAGCTGTACAAAAAGGGGCTATTGGTATATTCAGCCCAAATGAACACGACACAAACATACTAGCAAGTATACATGTCTCAACCAAGACTGCCCTGCCAACGGGCCGCCA